TTGCTGGCTTTCTTCATCTTATTCTTGTCCTCTACCGTCATAACTAGCTCCATCATCTCTCTCAATCCCAACAATATCAATAGTTTGAGTGATGCTCGTATGTTGGGCTTTAGGCCCTTCATGAAATTTCCCTCAAATCCAGCTTCAGAAATCCCCCTGAACCGTCCAAGCAATAGCTCAAATTTTTCCATGTATTTCATGACAGTCCCCTCCTGAGTCAAGACGTAGAATTACTTATGTAGATCTCCTCCCGAATTGCTCGTAAACGTTCCAACAAACAATCCTTGAATTCCTCCCATGAATGGATCACGTACCAAACCTCCCTCCACTGAAACCAAACTAGAGCTTTCCCATCCAAACAAAACCACGCCACCATGAGTTTCTCCTCCCCACTAGTTCATTCACCGCTAAGTATCGCTCTGCCCAATACACCAACCCATTTGCATTTTCCTCTCAAAGTATCGGCACCTTCAACTTCCTAAATCTAACCCTTCCACCCTAAGTTCCTCTTCAACCGTTGCTTTCCCTTATGTGTCAAGGGTAAAGCTCCCTCCTTCGATCGTAGCCAAATCCCCTTCACGCTTCTCTCCTTTCTTCTTTGTGCCTCTCCATATTACTTGAATAATCTCCTCTCCATTTTTATTTTTGCCCAACATTCTCCATCAGAAATCTCTGCCACAATACTCAATGTTTGGGCATATTATTACTTATAAGAATGGATCTAATAGAACACAAATTAATTATTTTCTTATGAGAAAAAAAATCGTCGAGAATGCATAGATTGTAAGCTCATTCCAAATGAAAATTTAAGTACTCAACATCGATTATTAGTTCTAGATTTAAAAATGAAGAGTTGTAATACCAGAAAACATTGTTATAGAATTAAATGGAACACATAAAATTATTTTTATAAGTAAAATTCAGGATTTCAAGATTTGGGATATTCAATAAGAAGTGAACTCTATGTGGGATAAAATAATAAGTACAATTAAACAAGTAGCAAAAGATATATTTAGAAAATCAAATAAATAAAAATAAATAAAAATAGTTTGTGGTAGAATACTAATGTGCAAGAAAAGATAAAGTATAAGAAGTTATAAAAATTGGTTTAAATGTAAAAACTTAGAAAACTTGGAAAAATATAAGATGACCCAAAGGAAGTCTAAAAGAACAATTTGTGACACTAAAACTTACGCTTTTAATGATTTTTATAATAGATTAGATACTAAAGATAGTGAAAATATATATATAAACTAGCCAGACAGAGAGAAAAGAAAGTAAAAATTCAATTCAACTAAACTGTATTAATGATGAAAATCAAAAAAATGTTTTTCTTAGAGGAAGATATTAAACATAGGTGGGTGTGCTATTTTGATAAATTTTTTAATAAAATTTCTAAAAAATACGATCGACTTTAGTAATCTTAATATTGTTAATAATAATAAAATATTTTATTTTTACCATCGCATTAGTAAAAATGAAGTTAAAGAGGCTTTAAAGAAAACAATGGGTGGAAAATTAATAGAACCTAATGGCATCCCAATTGCGTTATGAAAATATTTACGAGATTTGGAAGTTTCTTGGCTTACTAAATTCTTTAATATCTTTTTAAAAACTAAAAAGATGTCTGAGCAGTAGAGGAAGAGTATTTTGATCCCCATTTTAACGAATAGAGGGGACGCACAAGAGTGTGTATATTATAGAGGAATTAAGTTGATTCATCATACTTTAAAATTATGGGAGAGAGTAATTGAACATAGAGTAAAACGTGGTACAATGATTTCTCATAATTAGTTTGGATTTATGCAGGGTAGATCTACTATGGAAGCTATACATTTATTGAGAGGTTTGATGGAGAAGTATAAAGAGAATAAGGAGGATCAACATATGATTTTTCTTGTTTTAGAAAAATCATATGATAAGGTTTCAAGAGAAATCATTTGAAAAGTTCTAGAGAAGAAAGGTGTTGATATGACTTATATTCAAATCATTCAAGATATGTATACTAGAGTTGTTACTTGTGTTTGAACAGAAGGAGGATTGATCAAGTATTTTCCTAGTTTAGTTGGATTACATCAGGGATCGACCTTAAGCCCATATCATTTTACTTTAGTTATGGATGCTCTTATTGGACATTTAAGAGTGCATGTACCTTGGTGTATGTTTTTTGCTGATGATATTCTTTTTTTTTTATAAGACTAAAGAAAAGAGTAAAGGAAGATTTTGAATATATGGAGGCCTACATTGAGTCTAAAGGCCTTTGTTTGAGTAGATCTAAAATTAAGTACATGGTATGCTATTTTAGTGGTAGTGGCTCTAGTAGCAAAGTTGTAGCTCTAGATGGGATGTTATTAGTAGAATTCAAACTGGATGGTTAAATTGGAGGAATGCATCGAGCCTATTGTGGGATAGAAAAGTACCACTTAGTAGGAAAAAGGCTTGTTGTTGTTGTTGCTTCTCCAACAGAAATCTCTAGTCCATACCTAATTGGAGCCCTGGGAGGAGGTTCTTAATGGTGGATGCTTTCCTCCTCATATTCCTCTCATCTGATCTTATTCCCTTCTGATTTAGCCAATGAATCTCTGGTCAATCCTTGGAACCGTCGGCGGGGTACCTCAACATCTCTTCCAAGCTCCCGAATCAAGTGTTAATGGTAGAAAATCTTTCCTCTATCTCGGATTTAAGTTGCCCCACTTCTTTTTCTTTTCCAAATCGTTCATTTTCTCCGCGCCATTACTTCCTGTCACTAGGGCACACTTGATCCTGAATCTAGTAGCTGACTAGTAGGATCACAATTAGGACACGCCCTATCCCGTTGCAACCTTCCCAGCTAGTTATGATCGAGTATGTTTGGCATGGTTCGGTGCGAGGGAGATGAATGTAAGTCACAATCCCCTTTATTTCCCAGATAACTCGAAGTGCTCTAGTATTGCGAGGCTTCGGTCACGGAAGCAAGCTCTAAGTGTGGTTGTATCGCAGTGTTTGGTCACAAAGGTGACAGAACAAGCCGGAAAATGGAGTTTTGGGTATTTGTACGCCGCTCACCAGTCTCTGCCTTCCCTGCTAGCCCTAATCGCGATCATATCGCATAGACGATGCGACTGCATAGCAGTTTTCGGTCATGAAGGCAGCATGACACCAACCGAAAGATGAAGTTTCGATTCTCTATATGTTGCTTCCCAGTCTGTGCCTTTCAAGCTAGCTTTGATAGTGACCATATCGTAGACGACACGATTGTATCGCGCAACATAAGTAAGAGGAAAATGGGAGTTTCGGCTCGATAAGCCACTATTCTTCCCCGTCAGCTCCAATCACAGCAAATTCGCGAGGTGAAGTCATTGAATCGTCTGTATGTCGCAATCCTTCCCCCACATAGCAATCCATGCCCGATAAATATCGTAACAATCCTGCTCTACTGCTATATCATATTGCCATCCTTGCAAGCTATAATTGAGATTGTATGATAATCAAGACAGTATGAAGATCTCCCAGAAATCTTGCTTTGATACCAATTTGTTCAGATCCGACATCAAAATCGACACACTTTTCCACATAAATTAAGACAAACATAATATTTTTTCAATGATCCAAACAACTCAACAATAATACAAAAGATAAGCACTTACAATTCGAGAGGGAGACGATCTCTCACAATTCTTATAATTCGAGAGGTAGGCTCCTAGACCCTAAACCTAAAACTCACAATCTAATCTCATGCATAAACCTAGCCATAGACATAACAAGCCTATTTATACCCAAAAATAATAATAATAAAAGAATAAATTGCCCTTACATGTACAAAAGATAAATTTTCCCTTAGGCCAATGTATAATCTGCCAAAGGAGAAGAATTAATAAGGAACAATAATCAATACAAGCCAGAAGATAATAAAAATAAAACCGATATCTCTAAGGATCTTTGTGTCACAATTATATTACTCATAGTATTCGTGATGTATGAGGTAACAAATCTAAAAATAAAGCAAGTCATTATAGTAAAGAAGATCAATTCCTAAATATTGTCAAGATTGATCTTCTAGTAAATCTTTCTCTATTCGCCGGCTCATATTCTTTTTTCCGGCTCCTTCATTCCGTATGCAAGTCCATGAATGAATCAAGATCTAATAATATGGCACTAAAGAACCTAATGGAATAGATGGGCTGCCCGAAAACTATCTATCCATCAAAAAAGGTGGTAGAAAGGAACTGACAGTTTGGCAAGTAAAAGAAACTCCAATTCAAGGAAAGACTTTATGTAAGATGGACAGAGAACCTAAAAAAGTAGACATGAGCCCTCCATAGAGACTGAGTTCAAGGCGAAAATTGAGCTAATAGAGAAACCAACTCAACAAAACATAATGAAAAAATAGAGGCGAGGTGGTGTAAAAATGAGGGGAAAGAAGTCACAAAAGGTGGAGACAACAGAAACCACAACAGAACTGCTTTCTTGGAAGTTGGTCCTAAAAATTTTGCTATTGCCTATTAAACATTATACACATGGAAGCTGGTTGATTTATTACAATTATGCTTAGACTGCACCAAGACATTGACATGCTTTCTAATTTGCAAAAATGTTTCCCATATGTCAATGATTTACCAGTACTTTTATAAAACTTTTTAAATTCAGAATTAATTCCTGATCCGATTGAGCCACCAATCTACAACTTAGCAGTTGCTGCCAATCTCATTAACTATTAGCAATATGTCGTTACATTATTTTGCTAACAGGTTCACACTTTTTAAAATGTTATCATCTGTGTAAGAAATTAAAAAAAATGACCGTAATTCCAAATATTCAGCTCTTTAAAAAAATTTATATATTTATTGAACTTTTATCATAATTCTCTGTGACATAAAATAAACTTTTTTACAAATATTCACAATCACTATTTCCTTGATATTAAAAAAAGTTGTTTAACTAAAAAATTCTTGCCAAGGAAATAATAATTCAAAAATAATGATTAGGGTAGAGTAAATGACAACTGTTCAGAGTCGTCTTACCGAACAACACTCCCTTTGCTGCCAAATAACTTCGCCAGATCAAGAGAACTATTGCTCATTTTACTGCAAAAGAAATGATAATCATATTCATTTGATGAAAACAACAAAGAGCCATGAAAAAATTAATATACTCATATGCTCAAGAATTTTGGTCAATATAAGGAAATAGACTACCTATTTAAAAAACTTTCTGCTCCCCTTCTACCCTTTTTCCCTACTCTGCTTTCTCTTGCAGAAGCAACACCTTGAATGGCAATCTACAATTTAAACAAAATCATTAGAGGGGAGCCTATTCAATTACAAATAACTGAGCATACAAATGATAAACATAAATTAACAAATTTAATCAATGCTTCTGCATGTGCCGTATACAAGGCTATAGTCCAGCAACAAAAACATACCTCAGAGCACCAGGATGCATGAATTCCCGGACTTCTTTAGGGATATTTCAAATTTGATAAATAAGAAACAACAATCAAGAGCATATTTTTCACCAAAATTCATTTGCATAATCAAATGACAGTATAATACATGCATTTGACATGTAACAAAGCCAAACTTTTACGGTTAATATGGTTCATAAAGTGAATATATGACTTGTTTTTAAATTGTTTCAGTGCCATTGTAGGTAAACAACCAGTGCTACTTAGAATAATCAACATTCATTCAATCCTTCCCCTTTTACTTTGTCATTCTTAGCATCAATCAATCGCAGCTATCTAAATGAAGGCCAGATTGGCATGCAATTAGATGAACCAAACAATCACATGGATTAATGAGGTACCACTGCACTGAACACATCGCAAAGCAAACAGCCCCAAAACTAAATATGTAAGGGAGCCATAACACCATGTGAGCATAGAAACATCTTATATGAAGGAACTAATCAAAATCCCTGCAATGAAAAAGATAACAAATAAAATAATAATAACAACAATAATAATAATAATAATAATTTAAATTGGCAGTTATACTATAAGGGCCCGACTTGACAGTTAAAAGTGATTAAAAAATGAACAAACCAATTTAATATATATATATATAGACATATATTATATATGATGTGATAGTTAAATAATAATTAATTAAATTAAATAATTTTCAAATTGAATATGAATTTAAAAATATTAAAATCTATAATGTGATAGTTAAAAATTAATTAAAATAGTTATTCAAATTGCATTATTTTTTAAAGTTAATGATATAATGTGAAGGCAAATTTTAAATGTATATGGATTAGACTTTCTAAACTCACCTATATCTTATGCCAAAAATCACGTTTGGTTCAATATCACTTCTTTAGTACAAATAAAGATATCCTCTAAACACTTTAATTATCAAAAGGCAACAAAAAGACATATCCTGCATCTTACCTTATTTCAAGCATGCAGAAACAGAAATTCGTACAACAATAACCAAATAATTACATAACCAAACAAAACTGCTATTTCCTCAACATTCTTATCCCCCATAGAAGGATTAGGAAAATAAATCTAACCTCAAAAAGCTGCTCTCTTATACAAACAGCAATTGTTGGCTGCAAAATAATAAGATAATTAAAAATTACTGATTAGTTTAAATCAGTGATGAAGAAAGAGAAAAAAAAAGTTGCAAGGAAACTAATCATTCAGTATTAAATATGTCAAGTGTGTAATCTGTTTGTGCCAATTTGGATTAATATTTTCTATTAAATAATGATTAAGAAAAATATAAAAGAATATAAAATATGATATTCTCATTACTAATTGATATGTTCAAAGCAATAGAGGTAATTCAAGAAAAAATTCAAATGAAAATATTTATATTTATTTGCAGGTAAATTTTAACATAATTTCCCACTTTAAGAGGGATCTTCATCATTCAAAAATGCAAAATAGCTATTAACAAAAGGAAAGAGCATGCAATATGCATAAACATGAATAGAAAATTATTAATGCTCCAATACATTCTATCAAATCCACCACATCCCCTGTACCTCTTATTAATTTTTTAGTCCAAAACAAATGATAATATAAAATTATGTTTTACGAAAGATTTTAGTAACTTTGTTCTTCATCTTCAGATCATGTGTCTCCTGAACTCTATACAAGGCCTATAACTTGCCAGAGACAATAGCTAACTAACTGACCTAAATAAAAAAACAATAATGATTAGCATGTACAATTGTAAGTTATGCCTTAGTTAACCAGTTCAGCATTGAGAACATTAAGAGTTGCTTACTCCAACTTCGGGGTCTTCAACATTCAAATCTTTACATAAGGTAATTGCAAACTCCTCAGGATCACTTTCTAGATTGCTGATGTCCTGGAAGAAAATAAACCAACTAGCCTTTGAATAAACCTAAAAATGCTAAGATGAATTTGGCCAGAAAATGAAGCACTACAGAGAACAAACACAGAAAAGTGCAAAAAAGCTTACCCACAAGAACTGGTCTCTGATTACAGTATTATTTACACGTATGTCAAGCTGCAAAACCATTGCAACATTATACAGCCAAGCATGCTAAAATTCCAATCCATTCCAAAAACAAACCTTAAGAGGCACAATCTTCTCTTTTAAATGCATTTCTTGCCCTTCATATGACCTAAATTCAGCCAATTGTGACTGACCAAAAGAAGTCCATTAGCATAACAAACATGTGCATGTTATTCAGAGCTATATGATAATGGTCCAAAAGAATTAGGCTCTTACACAACAGTTGGCATGAAGGGACCTATAAAATTGTAAGACAGTACAGGACAACATAAATTAAAAAATTACTGCAACTCAAAATCTGTGAAACGCTAGGAATCATGCCATGACACTTAAATGGACTTGAATAAATGTCAAAAATGCCTTCTTAATATCCAATTATGGGCCCGTTTGGGGCAGCTTAAAACTACGGACCGCGTTTTGAAAACGTTGTCCTAGCGTTTGGATCGAATGTTTCAAGTGCGTACCTAAAAATTGTGTTTTAATTTTGTGAAAGACGCGGCCCACGGGATGTCCCCCACAGGCCGCGTTTTCGATTGCTTATTTCCTTCGGTGCCCCGCTGCTTCTTCTCCCTCGCTCGTCTATGCTCCCTCGCCTACAGCGAGAAAAGGCCAGGTGACAATTGCGATGGTTTGTAGGTTTTGGGCATGAGAGATAGTGGGGAAGATGGGGTTGAGGCAGTGTCAGCTGAGCATCCCTCCATCTTTTCTTGTTGTCTACTTTCATTTACCTCTATGTAGCACTATATCTGATGTTTGGTCCACCGCGAACTGTTTTGTTTGATCCGCATCTCTTTCATCACAAAGCGAAAAAGGGTCATCAAAATATCCCTTTCCAAGCATAAAAAAAAGGTTTGTTTTGTTTTGTTTTTTCTTTTTTTTTGCCGTTTTATTTTCCTTGTTGTGAAAATTTCTTCTCTTTGTTTTTCTTCCTAGATTGCTTTATTGTATCAGTTTATGTGTCTTTTCTGCTTAGAAACTGCATTTTTTGTAGTTTTGCATTTAGGGCTTTCAATGCTGGGCATTTTTTGAGCTTGTGTTGCATTGGGATTCCTTCGGTTGTTAAAGGATCCAACATTTTTCTAGAATCCTTGTCATGGTAGGCAAGCGCAGATGCTTCATCTTTGATTTCCTCCTGTTTAAAAATATGGATAGGACAATTCGAACAAATATTAACAAAGCAACACAACTGATGCCAATCATCGCCCATAACTTCAAATCAAGATAGGTCTTATGCTTTAATTTGGCATTTAGACCATCTTTGGATGACATTTTTTTTTTTCAATTTGCCTGCATTAATAAGAGAATTCAAATCAAAGCATACCAACAGCAGCATTTCATGAAATTTGCCTAACTGAAGAAAATCAAAATACTATAATATGAATTTGGATATCAACCAAAAAAGAAAAAATGTAACAATAATGATCTAAACAAGTTTGTCATTATTAGAAGGACATATGAGAGAATATATCTTAGCTTACAATGTAACGATTTTCTATAAAGTTAAGGGAAATGTACAAACCTAACACACAATTATTATGTGTTTACATTCATGATGGTTATATGCAAATATGAAAGTTTCCAGAATACAGGGGCAGAATGGTCAATTTTCCAGAATCAACTGTTTTCCATAAGCGTCAACCAAACAGCTAGACAGCTTATCCGGATCAGCTGCTCATCAGCAGATTATCAGGATAAGCTGCTTATCAGCAGAAGCTGGATAAGCTGCAACTGCCCCAAACAGACCCTATATTTCAATATGACTCGACTGCATTGAAAAGCAGCAGCAATGAGGAAAAAGAAAGGAAAAAAAGAAATAGATAGGCTTTGCTGGGTACAACTATGTTGATGTTGTAACAATTTGGCACAATAATGAACTAAAATCATTATTCTCTGATATTGAAATATTAGTCATTCAATAAGTCAAGCCGAATGCCCTTGAACCCATAAAACGGATTTTGTAAGCATATTTTTCATAGAAACCCGAAGCAGGTTTTTAATAAAGTTAAACAGGAGAAAAGTGGAACCAGAGGAAGTTTAGAATTAAAAAGCTATCGAATCATCCGCTAGACAATAAACATATCATGTACTACTAATGTATTTCATAGTTCATGTAGAGAAATCAAACAAAGCAAATAACTCATATTATCTAACAAACAGAATCATGGTAGTGACCTCGGGACAAGAGTAACCGCTTACATGTATTGATTGGGAAATCTGACTGATGAAAGCTGGAGGTAACTTCAGATCCTTGACAGTCCGTTTCGCAAAACTGATTACTTCAGAATCGGGATCTTCCAGCAAGGATAAAAAGTGAATTACTAGTTAGCTTAAACCAAGCAATTTTATGACCTAAAGCAAGAGTTAATACAGATATATTAAAAATAATACTTGAGAAAAATTCCAATCTCAATCTGGTCTCAAATCTTTGTGGAGAAAAATTCAGAATATAGGTATTGTAAAGACAGAAACTTCAATAGTAATTTTCCATGCTCTAATTGAACAGAAAATGTTACGTTGAAACAAAATTTACAAGATAACAGCGCAGTAATATCTTTCTTTAGTAAACGTTAAGGAGTACCAGACGGATTCCAAGTGAAGGAGTCTTTATAATGTTGCCCCTCATTTTCAATATCCAAACGAACGGGAATCAGGTTTTCAGCAGTAGGCCTGCAATTAATCATTGTAACTATTATCTCAATGCCTTATCAGCGTGTTATATTAAATCGGGCAATGAAAAATCACATCTAGAGGGGCAAAACCAGTTTTATCTTTTAGGGTGGAAGAAATCACCAAATCTTTACTTTATTTTAAATATTGGGAAATTGAGGGGGGCACAATTACTATCTTGCCTAAAGTACAAAAGAAAAAAATTAATAAATTTTACTACTTATATAAAAAATCTCTTATTTTCGGAAGAGTTTTAATATTTACATAGAGAAATCTCAAGTTTGAGGAACAACAATTGCCCACAGTAGAAATAACTCGATTCTGCCCCTGCCGATCTAGCTCGAGATTGGCTAAAAGCAATTCAATGCTATTTTGAGCTAAGCAAGGTCTAGTTTTTTTATTTTGATCTATGACAAAAACCTAATTGACTTTCAAAGGATTTTTACAACGACAAGTCTTTATCACACTAAGTGGGGTCGGTTATATGGATCCCTTTTCTCCGTTGCGACCTATTGAGTGTCATATTTTCATTTAATTCTAATATATTAATATCGTGTTTTATACAATATGCCAAAAAAATTTTTATGTCTACATGTGTCTTTCTCAACATAAGTCAAATCTAAAACATCTACTCTCCTAACCGGACAATCAGATGGTCGACGATTGATGTGACCAAACCATCTAAGACGACTCTCTTTAATCTTGTTCGCCATTGGAGTTACACCAATCCTATCACGGATATATTCATTTCACATATTGTCTTTAAGTGTCGAGCCACTCATCCACCTAAGCATTCTCATCTCAACAACACTTAACTTTGTTTTATGTTTCGCTTTTAAATACCAACATTTTGCGTCATAGAGCATGTCTCACCACCATCTTATAAAATTTTACTTTCAGTCTAAGCGGCACTTTTCTATAACACCAAGATTTTTACCTTTTAACGAAAATTTCTTAAAAAAACACATTCATACACATGTTCATGAATATATGTGTACATGAATTCATGCATGCATTTGGAGGGATTTTGATCCAAACATGAGTAAGATTTAATTTGATCTATGCATGGTTGTTTTGATTTTAGCCGGGAATGAATAGTTTGTTGGTTGGTTAATTTTAATTGAAGTTCGATGTCAGCCAAGAACCGATAAGTATTTTTAGAAACATCATGAGTTGCAAGTTGCGGGTCTTATCCAAAGCAATAAAAATGATGGCTATTCACGAATTACTATGGAAATCAAGGGATGAATGGATAAAAATTGCATAAAACAGCATGTCAAATATATCTTTAATTACGAATTCAACCCATAAGTTAGAGAACATAAAAGTTTACGGAAAAAAAACCAAGTGCTGAAATTTTGAATTGAAAATCTCGTTGTCAGTGGACAAAAGAAAGTAATTCAACCAAATAAAATAACAAAAAAAAGGGATTGGTGCAAACAAAGAGAGAGGAAGATTTAAGAATGGAGGGAGAGAGAAATTGATATTGGTGGTGAAGAGAAGTCAATGAACTCACATTCTGAACCTGATGGGCATTTTTGAAGAGCTTGGCAGGTGTAATTTCATAGCTTAGTCAGTTCAAAATCCGAGCTCGCGACGATTTTTACTCCCAAAATAATAAGCAATGGAGCTTGAACTTTCTGCCAGCAATTCCCTCAATTCCTATTGACAATTGGAGCTTGAACTTTATAAGGGCCGTTTGATGGCAGGATTTACGCGGGATTGAATCCAGTCAAAAGGTGGAAATGCCAGAATAACTCCTCCTACGTTTTTTTTTTTAAATCCCGCTTTACCTCCGGTTGGCGGTAAATTCTGGGTATACAGTATACACGAAAAAAATTCAGGCGAGGCTAGACGCGAAACCTCGTTCCCACGATCCAGCCAATACGTCAGCGTGCTCGCTTTACAGCTTCCTAGCTTATTTTTCGTCCAGGTTTTCGGATTGGCGCGGATGGGAGCCTTCGCCAGCGAGCTCCCGCCCGGCGAGACTTCCTGCTTCTTTTAGGTCGACGGTTCGAGGAAAGAGGAGATAGCTAGGGTTTCTGATTTTTTTTTTCAAAAATAATAATAATAATAATAAATAAATTTAATAATAAATTTATAATTATATTATACTGTATTAAATAAATAATATTACTCTGTTTTATTTTTCTCAGATAAAAATTCCTATAATCTTTAATAAATCATTAAATAAATATTATATGATACTAATTATAGCTAATTGAGTATAATTAAAAATTATAAAAATTATTTTAATTAAAACTATTAATTAGATATGGACGTGTTAATTTATTAAATAAAAATAAATCAGCAATTCAGCACTAAAATATATAAGCAAAGTAAATTATTAATTTTTGTTCGATTTGACTAAACACAATGTGATATTAAATTAGCTTAGCACATTGCCAAATAATAATTAATTAATATGTTATTTCTAGCCAACATAATTTAATAAATCTAATTATAATCGACTTGGGATAAATTAATATGATAAAATATTATGATCATGTAAATTATTAATATGATAAATAATTTCAAAATTTTAAATGCAAAATATTACGAGCATATAAAAAAAATTACAACCTAACAACAAATATTTCATAAAAAATTTGAGTATTTCAATAAATCAATATGAAAATAATATAGCACATATGATTGCAAATGCTTGAAAAATATTAGCCTCCAAATAAATAATAAAAGAAAACTAAAGATAAAACTCTATTATGTGTTTAGCTCCAAAGTCCTCCAATGACTTGATCATAAAAAAGAGTTTGTATGGTAGATAAGGATAGAATATTCGCTTCTAAAAAGACTGGTATTGTTATGTGACCTTTCCTGGGGAATGACAGATCTTGCTCATGCCTATGAGGTTTGCAAGGAGGAAGCTTTAGGTGCATCTTTTGCCCGCGAATGAGAATGAGTGCTTCTGCAACTTGGTGGGCATCAAGTTAGAAGTCAAATAACTTCATTAGTTTTGACATCATTTGAAGTGTCTGAGCTCATAAGTTCACTTTCTTTGGTGGATAGATAGCCCATTATGCTTTTTGTGAGGTGTTTCATTGTTTATGATCTTTGCCAAGCAGTCTTTTTATGCAGGGGACGAATACAAGCTTTAGAGTAACAGGGAGGGAAGTAAAGGAGACTCAATGGCACCCGATCCTCCATTTGTTTATGGCATGGTCATGCCAAGGTGAGGTGTGGCCACACCTATCAGAGACGTGGCCGGGTAGGACCCTTCCACT